ATGAGGGCGGAGGCATCAGTTGCCGTCTGATTAAAAATATGCCTTAATTATATGGATTTGACTATTCATGCACCACAGCCCTGTGAAGTAGGATGGCATAAAAATCCCTGCACCTCAGCTTGAGAAATCCTTTCCGTGGTGTGGGTTGCTGGCAGTTTCTCAGTAGGGAATGAAATGTATTTCAGACCGTGCTTAAGGGGGGTGGTGGCGGCTATGTGGCCTTCCAGATGTTGCTGGACTCCAAATGCCATCACTCCCAGCCATCAGCCACACGTTGACTGAGGTCGTTGGGAGTCCAACAACATACGACGGGCCACAGATTCCCCATCCCTTTTGTAAGGCTTGACACTCACAACAGGCAATGAGGCTCTCAGCACTTGACTTAAATATGAGTGGTTTAAATTAAGCACATTCCACTGGGATTTGAAGCCTGAATGCAGACTGCAATTTAAACCTGAAAGTAGGAAGGGCCTCCCCACTGGGGTTCAGTAGGGAGCACAGTACGCACTGCAGGGTTGCTGTTCGGATGGTTTTTATTTGGCTGCACAAGCACGGCAGCCTTTGTGTCTTCACACAAGTGCTGTGCAGTCAGGTCATTTTGGACTTGAGCTTAATAATAATAATAGATTTTATTTATACCCCGCCCTCCCCAGCCAAGACTGGGCTCAGGGCGGCTAACACCAGATATAAAACAATTGATTGAAATACAACTTAAAAAACAAGATTAAAACACAACATTAAAATGCAGCCTCATTTCAGTGGAAACTCAAATCAAAAACTTTTTTGGGGATGAAAACGTCAAATCTTCACCAAGGCCAACTATCCAGACTGGTCCTACGTGGGCCAGAAAAAAGCCAGGGAAGTCCCCAAATAGAAGCTCCATCACAGAAGGAGAAAGGAAAAAGGAAAGGGGGAGGGGATCAAGTGGATTCCAAGCAAAAGGCCAGGCAGAACAACTCTGTCTTACAGGCCCTGTGGAAAAAAATCAGATCCTGCAGGGCCCTGGTCTCATGAGGCAGAGCGTTCCACCAGGCCGGAGCCAGTGTTGAAAAGGCCCTGGCTCTGGTTGAGGCTAATCTGACTTCCTTAGGGCCCGGGACCTTGAGGGTATTGCTATTTATGGACCTTAAGGTCCTCCACGGGGCAGACCGGGAGAGTCTTAGACACAGTCCTCTTCTTCCACATGTCACAAGCCAGGCTGGCCTGCTGCTCATTCTGCTGAGTGGGGCTCGTGTTTTATGTGTGATTCTAAATGTTACTTTGTCGCCTTGATAACTTTGCTTTTAATTGCCTTTCTTCTGTAGCATCCACCAATTTAGTCCTTACGGTATTTACTTACACCTCAAATTTAACATTTTTCAAAAGAGGGTTTCTTATTATTTGTTTTATTATTACATCCTGCTTTTCCTACACAAAGATGTTCATTTCTTTGTCTGAATGGGCAGGTGATCTTATAAAAATACAGTTTTAACTTAACTACTAAAAGCATGTTCCGAAAGCTCTTGTTCATTGAAAGAATATCATTTTTAAAGGTATGACGTATTACTGGAACAGGGGACAGAAAAACTAGAGTTGAATCATAGCATCCTAGAGCTGGAAGGGACCCTGCGGATCATCTGGTCCAACCCCGTGTAATGCAAGAATATGCAGCTGTCCCTTACGGGAATCGAACCTGCAACCTTGGCATTATCAGCACCATGCTCTAAGCAACTGAAAACAATGTATGTAAACCTGCCCACATTAAAATGTGGCTCCCCAAATTAATCTACCAAGTAAGTCGGAAAACGCTTTGAGTCACTACTTAAAGTGGTTGTGTAGAACAATGATAAGTGTTGCAGGTCTATTCAAAAATCCTTTTTCTTCTCTCTGCTGCTGCTGGTGAGGACTCAAGCTTTCCCCGAGCCTGTTGCAGCAATGAAAAATTAATTAATACCGTTCCTTTGTTTGTACAACCATGCAAACAGAGCATCTCACAGCCAGCTTGCTGCATTCCCCATATGCAAGAAATTAGCACAGTCTTGGTTGTTCCTCCATCGCTTTCCCTGCTCCCCCCTCTTTCCAAATTGGCTTTGGGACTGTTCAGACACAACTCCTCACTTGCGTTTTTCAGATGCCATTCTGCTCTGGTTGTCCCAGGCTGCATCAGAGCAATGGGGGACGGGGTTAGTGCCAACTTGGGTGATGTTCTCTGGGAACCACTTTATCTCCTTTGTGGCCAACGGTGGTGGTGAGGTTGGCTCAGGTTTTGCACGGGGTCCATCTCTGTGTTGGATATGAAGACGAGTGAGCTGATAGTGCCAAAAGTTGGCTAAATCATTGGACCTGGCTCTTGGGAGCTTGATAGTCAAATGTCCTTTTGCTTTATCCTTAATATGCTGAGTACTGCTTTAGCTCTACAAAGCTGCAGAAGGAGAAGCAGTTAACCTCCAAAGTCTGCCCTCAGCACCACTGCAACATTTCAGAGCTGGGAATGGCACAATTCTGTTGGTGCAAAGTGGGTGCAAAGAGCCTGCAATAATTCGAGCGAATGAGCCAAGGGCCATGCTGAGGAGACAGGCCTTACCTCTGCACCATTCTCCCTCCCTCCTTACAGGGCAGGTATCTATTACAGTGGTTCTCAAACCACTGTTGCCTGTGGACCACTTGAAAATGGTTGGAGGTCTCAATAGACTACTTAAGCCAGTGATGACCAAACTCGGCCCTCCAGCTGTTTCGGGACTACAACTCCCATCATCCGTAGCCAACAGGACCAGTGGTCAGGGATGATGGGAATTGTAGTCCCAAAACAGCTGGAGGGCCAAGTTTGGCTATCGCTGACTTAAGCCTTTTTCCTCTCTTCTGCAAATCAAAGAACATGGAGTCCTCCAAGTAGCAATATTGGGATCTGTGCGTTTTAACTTGTTCATAAACCATCTAGTGTTAGGTGTGAACAGTGAGGTGGTCAAGTTCACTGATGACACTAAATTGTTCAGGGTCAATAAAACAGAGCTCTGAATTGCAATGAAATGCAATTCATTGTAAAAATGTGTAAAGTGATATATGTTGGCACAAAACCACCTTAATTTCACATATATGCTCATGGGGTATGAATTGGTGGTGATGGACCAGGAACAAGATCTTGGACTTGCTGTGGATAGCTCAACAAAGATGTCCGTCCAGTGTGTGGCAGCCATGAAAAACACAAATTATATGCTAGGGACCATTAGGAAAGGATTTGATACCATAATGCTATTATACAAATATATTTTGTGAGCACATTTGGAATATTGTGTTCAGTTCTGGTCACCTCACCTCAAAAAGGATATTGTACGGTTGGAAAAGGTTCAGAAAAGGGCAACCAAAATGATTGTGTGTGTGTGTGGAGGGATTCCCCCATGGGGATAGGTTGCAGCATTTGGGAATTTTTAGTTTAGAGAAAATGCAAGTAAGAGGTGACATGACAGAAGTTTATAAAATTATGCATGGAAGGGAGAAAGTAGACAGAGAAAAGTTTTTATCCCTCTCTTACAACACAAGAACTTGAGAGCATCCAATGAAATGGAATGTTGGAAGGTTCAGGGAGATAAAGGAAAGCCCTCCTTCATGCAGGAGTTAAACCATGAAACTCCCTCCCCCAGGAGGCAGGGAGGGCTTGGACAGCTTTAAAAGAGGATTGGACAAATTCATGGAGGAGGAAAAGGCAATCGATAAGCCAGAATGGCCATGCTCTGCTTCCATAGCAGTGCTTATGAATACCAGTTTCTGGGAAGCATAAGGGGGCTCATGTGCTCAGGTCCTGCTCCCTGGTTTCTTACCACATCTGGTTGGCCACTGTGAGATCAGGATGCTGGGCTGGCACTTCTTATGTACTCATGCTCATCTGCAAGGAAGAAGGAAGGCAGCTCCCAGGATGACTCAAAGAATGAGCAAGACACGGATGGGTCATGGTGCAATGCCCCCTTACCTTGCAAAGGGAGGTAGATTTCTCTGCCAGGAGAATGTTTTCAGTCCTTAGTATGGAACTGAAGGGGAGCAATTGTCTGCACTAGGTTAGGAGTTAGGTTCCCTCAAGTGGAATATTGAACTCCTGCCATGTTTTGGCTGGGAGGAGGGACAGGTGTATTTCCGCTGCACAGTGGAGAATGATCACCAGTGCACGTCACGAGAAGCGATGCACAACCCGTGGCAAACCTGTATCCCATTGTTGTTGGACTTCATTTCACAATGTCAGCCCTGACCAGCATGGCCAAGGATCAGGGATAATGGGAGCTGTGGCTTGTCAACATCTGGGCAGCCACATGTCCCCCTTCCCTGGTCTACGGTATAAATGAGAGCTGCTTTAAGCATCAACACTACCCACCTTTCGCCCTAAGGAACCTTGGGAATTGTAGCATTTCAAAAAGCTATGATTCCCAGTGCTCTTTCCCAATGGCAGTGAAACAGTTTCAGGTGATGTAGCATGACTGTGCTTTCTGAGGACCAGCTATACCCTCTGGTTCCTCCAGGTGGGAGTCACCTGGAGGAACAGGTGTGCTATATCTCTTTGTGGGACCAAGGTTTTGTTGCTACATTTATTTATTTACTTATTTATTTGTCGCATTTGTAGTCCGCCTTTTTCTCAAAGGAGCTCAAGGTAGTGTATAATATCGTGTTCTCCCGCTTCTCACTTAATGGCCACAGCAACCCTGTGGGGTAGGCTAGGCTGAGGGGCAGTGGCTGGCCCAAGATCACACCCAGTGAGCTAGGGTGGTGAAGTAGAGATTCGAACCCTGGTCTCCCAGGTCCTAGCCTGGCACTCTTACCACTACACCACACTGGCTTTTGATTCACTGTCCCAGGGGATTCACTTTCCTGAGGCTACTGTTTCAGCATTTCAGCCTGAAAGGTAATGCGACCTACTGGGCTGAGATTAGGGTTGGTGGTGGTGTACGAGAAGTTGCGCCAGCTTTTGCCGCAAGAGTGAGCAGGAGGCACCCGAAGCACTGCCAGCTTCTTCACTCTCTGTTTCTCTCTCCTTGCAGTCAGTTTGGTACAAAATGCGCCCGTTGCCGGAGGCAGATCTATGCCAGCGACTGGGTCAGGAGAGCCCGCGGCAACGCTTACCACCTCGCCTGCTTTGCCTGCTTCTCCTGCAAACGTCAGCTGTCAACTGGAGAGGAGTTTGGCCTGGTGGAGGAGAAAGTCCTGTGCCGGATTCACTATGACACCATGATCGAGAACCTCAAGCGCGCAGCAGAGAATGGTAGGTGGACACGCCCCCCCCCCCGGTATCCTGCTTACCCCCTCTGTGAGACGGTAGGAGGTGTGATCCCTTCCCCTCAACCCTGGACTTATCCTGGTTGATGTCTCTCGACAGAAAAGCGCAGAGATCCAATGCCCTCCAAGCAGCTCACAAAGGATAACTAAGCAGAGCGGAAATGTGTCGACTTCCGAAAATTGGCCTCCATGTGTTTCTAGGTGTTGAATATTCTCCAGATACGTGCTAGATATTTGCTGGAAGTTTACCAAATACTTGATCTCTATATTTGCAAGCTATTTTTTGTTGCTGTTGTTGTTGTTCCGTTATTTCTTGCTCGGCGATATCTGATGGGCAGCATGCAATGGCATTCAGTATCTGACAAGGGTTGCCATTTTCCATTTGGCGCTTACTTTTCATTATTTATTTATTGCATTTATACCCCCCCTTTTTCTTCCAAGGGTCTCAAGATGGTGCACATGTCCCCCCCCCATTCTTCATGTAATCCCCACCACAGCCCTGCAGGTAGTTTAGGCTGAAAGAGGCAGCGACTGACTCCAAGGTCACACCCCGTGTCCTTCATAGCCAAGTGGGGATTTGAACCCAGGTCCGACTCTGGCACTCTAACCACTGCACCACACTGGCTCTCCAAAACCCAAGTCACGAAGAGATGCCAGCCAGCCACTTTCATAGAGGAAGGCTTGCGGCTTAGTGGGTAACGCACCTGTCCTTCGTGCAGAAGGTCTTGAGACCAGTTCCTGGAATTCCCAGGGGGAGCTGGGAACTCTCAGGCCTCTCTCACTGTCATGGGGAATCCTGTGGACTGTCATTTTCTGAAGGGTGCTGGCCCCACAGACCTACAGTTCCCAGCATGCTCAACAAACTACTGTTCCCAAGGTTCTTTGGGGAAGGTTTTCTCCCCATGGCTGTAAAAGGAGTATGAGAGTGCTTTAAATGTGTGGTTGGGATGTGGCCAAAGACTTCTGCCTGAAGCCCTGATGAGCTAAGGTGGACCATACTGGGCTAGTGGGACCAGGGATCTGACTTAGTATAGTTTTTTATGTTCCTAGTGGGAAGTTTTCCATGGATGGGTCATAGAATCATAGAACTGTAGAGTTGGAAGGGACCCCAAGGGTCATCTAGTCCAACCCCCTGGCAATGCAGGAAATCTTCTCACCCAATGTGGGGCTTCAACTCATGACCCTGAGGTTAACAGTCTCATGCTCTGCTGCATGGGTAGGCAAACTAAGGCCTGGGGGCTGGATCTGGCCCAATCGCCTTCTAAATCCGGCCCACGTACGGTCCGGGAATCAGCGTGTTTTTACATGAGTAGAATGTGTCCTTTTATTTCAAATGCATCTCTGGGTTATTTGTGGGGCATAGGAATCCGTTCATTTCTTTTCTTCAAAATATAGTCCGGCCCCCCACAAGGTGTGAGGGACAGTGGACCAGCCCACAGCTGAAAAAGGTTGCTGACCCCTCTACTGGTTGAGCAATTCCAATGCAAGGCCCGGCTCAAAACATTTTGCCATCTGAGGCAAAGGGCAAGATGGGAGGAATAGCTTCCTTCCAACAAACTCGGCTCTTGGGGAAACCAGCAATATCACGAGTGCTCCTGTAAAAGGAGGGAGGGGGAGGGAGGGGGAAGAGAGCAAGCACCTCCCTCCATGGAAGCTGCCACTGCCAAGATGATACTAAGCAAAAGGGGCCAACAGCCCAATTCCTCCTGACCTACAGAGGCAGGCAGAATGATATGGAAATGGTTAAGTCCGACAGTTTTAGAATATTTGTGAATATCCATTCCCAAGTTAGAACTAGGAACACACAATTGAGCACCTGCCTAGCAAAAGTTGGCACCACCTTCTGCCACTGCCAGAGGAACTGCGTGTGTCTGTGATAGAAGAAGAAGAAGAAGAAGAGTTTGGATTTGATATCCCGCCTTTCACTCCCTTTAAGGAGTCGCAAAGCGGCTAACATTCTCCTTTCCCTTCCTCCCCCACAACAAACACTCTGTGAGGTGAGTGGGGCTGAGAGACTTCAAAGAAGTGTGACTGGCCCAAGGTCACCCAGCAGCTGCATGTGGAGGAGCGGGGAAGCGAACCCGGCTCACCAGATTACGAGTCCACCGCTCTTAACCATTACACCACACTGGCTCTCAATCGAAATCATTCAACTCCCATTGCAAATCAGGTGAAATTCAGCCGAAAAGTCCACTTCACCTGGCTTCTCCAGCCTCACTATAAGTTGCATTTTCAGCTGAATTTGGGGGAACCACTTGAAGCATCCGTTGTACGGCGCTATCTGCATGGCTTTGGTGGGGTTTGCTCCTTGCAGACAGTGGAAAGTCTGTAGATTTTGATCAGAAACCTGATTTGGAGTTGAAGAATTTCAGCTGCAACTGTAGCTGGGATTTTTAATCTGCTTCCAGAGCCAGTGTTCTTTTGAGATGGAAGGAGAGGTCTTCTTCCTCCCTGGAGCTCACACTTTCATGCCGTCTGCGTGCCTGAAGCCTACCCAGTGCCGGATTTATGTATAAGCTAAACAAGCTATAGCTTAGGGCACCACTCTCTTGGGGGCCCCCTAAAAATTTAAAGGAAAACAACAACTGGGAGTACATTTCCAAAATATGAGATAAAAAAACAAAAAAACAAAACCTACATACAGTTAGAGCTTAATATACTTATTCTTAACTGTATTTCAGTTCAACAATTACCGTATTTTTCGCTCCATAAGACACACTTTTTTCTTCCTAAAAAGTAAGGGGAAATGTCTGTGCATCTTATGGAGCGAATGCGTGGTCCCTGGAGCTGAATTGCCCAGGGGTGAAAAGCAGATCATGTGGTTTTTTTTTGAAAGAGGGAAGGGGGTGTTGAAACAAAGCTGCTGATCGGCAAGCGATTGGGGAGGGAGATAAGGGACAGTAGCAATAAAGGAGGCTGCCTGGGAGGGGGGAGGTAAAGACAATGAACTTGCAAGGAGAGGAGATAGGAAGGTTAAAGCAATGAGGAGAGAAATTAGAAGAAAAGGAGGAGCAAGAAAACCGCTCCAGCTAAGGAAAAGACACTAAGGCAAACAAGAGGGAAGGGGGGTGTTGAAAGGAAGCAGCTGACAGGCAAGCGATCGGGAGGGAGATAAGGGACGCTAGCGATAAAGGAGGCTGCCTGGGAGGGGGGAGGTAAAAGACCATGGATCCTCAGGATTTTTGCATTGGGTCACCCCAAATTCACCATCGGATCACATAGCATGTCCATGGCTACAGCCTGCACCAAAAAACACATGCATCCACTGTTCTCAGGATTTTTGCATTGGGCTACCCCAAACTCACCGTCAAATTATATGTCTGTGGCAACAGCATGAACCACAAAAATCATACATCCACTGTTTCATTCAGAATATATTTTTTCTTGTTTTCCTCCTCTAAAAACTAGGTGTGTCTTATGGAGCGAAAAATATGGCCCTTTGATAAAATACATACTTTGTTATGTGCAAATGGCTTTAGATACCTAATAGGTCCATAAATTAGCATATATTCAACACCAAAAACAGTGACAATTTGTTGTTGACGAAGGACAGCTGGACATCTAAAGGGCGCCATTATCTTCAGTAGCTCAGGGCCTCATCAAACCTAAATCCAGCCCTGAGCCTACCAGTGAGTCCCACCTGCGCTGTGATCAGTCAAATCAGTCTCTGGCAAACCGCAGGCAACCTCCCCTGACCCGCAGCAAGGCTTTCAAAGGGAAGTCCTTCCCATGAGCCCCGAGGAAGCATTTGAGACGCTCTGGTGAACGCTGCAGAGGAGCCATCCTTCTCAACAGCTCTGAGCTGCAAACTCACAAAGTGTCAGAATTCAGATACATGCCTGGAGCCTCAGCTACTCCTGCCGTAGGACGGTTGCTGCTAATTCATGCCACACTTTTAAAAGCGCAGCATAAACATAGCACGATCTTTATATGCTTGTCATAAAGAACATCAGAAGATGTGGCATCAGACCAACAGCCCATCTGGTCCGCCATCAAGTTTCCAACAGTGGCCAAACAGATGTGCATTCAGGAAGCCCAGAAGTGGGACACAAAGGCTGCAACCCTCCCTACTGTTTCCCTCCCACCAGCTGGCTTTCAGTGCTGTACCTGGAGCACATTTACCTGCAATGGCTAGCATGGCCTCCATGAACTTCTCTGGCCCACGTATAAAGCCATCTAAGGCAATGACCACAATCTAATATTGTGGCAGTAAATTACACAGGTTAATTATTCACTGTGTGGATTTATTTAGGTGGTTCTGATTTTTTTTGCCAACCCATTTCAGTAGACACCTCTGAGTTTAGGGTGGTAGCTGGTGTCTCCAGATAGGGCTTGACAGTTCCCTGTCTGAATAGCCACTGCCAACCTGTAGATGCAGTGGTTCTCAAGCTGTGGGTCCCCAAAGGTGGTTGGACTACAACTCCCATCATCCCTGAGCTCTGGCCTTGCTAGCTAGGGGTGATGGGAGTTGTAGTTCAAAAACATCTGGGGACCCACAGGTTGAGAAAGGCTGCTGTAGTGTGTAGACAATACAGTCATACCTCAGGTTATGAACGCTGCAGGTTGCGGATCACGCCAAACCCAGCAGTACCGTAACGGGTTACTTCTGGGTTTCGGAGCTCAAACATGTGCAGAAACACAAAATGACGTCACGTGCATGCTCAGAAGTGCTGAGTTGCATCATGCATGTGCGCAGATGCAGTGCTGCAGGTTGCAAACGCTGCGGGTTGCGAACGTGCCTCCCACGTGGATCACGTTCGCAACCCAAGGTATGACTGTACTGAACTAGATTGTTTGACGCAGTATAAGAGAGCTTCTATGTTCTATGAAAGGTCAAGGGGAATGAATATCTTTCTTTCTACACTATTAATAATTTTATTCACCACTCTCATGCACTTCCTTTCAATTCCCTGCTAAATTAAAATACCCCGTCCTGGTAGCCCTTCCTCATAGGAGAGTTGCTCCAGCCCCTTGATCATTTTAGTT